TGGCATTTCACCGGGTGAGCCAACCCATTCATGAGAAGATGTTTAAGCGGGCTCTACCATTATTATAAAAACTATTTTTTTTTTTAAATAAAATACTTTCACGGCGATGTGCAGTCGTGAACAAAATTACTATTCCGTAAATATGAAATGCAATTTATCATCAGTCTGTGACAATTAGCGCTGCAGCGCTGGCGACGTGCAGCTGTTGCAGCGCTGTGACCGCTTGATGGACGATGCGGCGGCATCACAGCCAGTTACAGCGCTGTCACACGACTCATTGGAGGCTTTAGTTCAAAACATTGTTATTCTCATGTAATTTAATATTGAATGGTACAATAAAATAGCTGTATTCAGAGCGGGTTAAATACCCAACTTCCTATACAACTATCTCACCCCCGGAGCAGGGATACATAATCAAGCAATGTTTATTGAAACCAAAGCCCGTTGTAACAAAGTGTGTTGAATAAATAATGCGACAATCCTTTGCTGCCTCATACAACTTGCAAGAAGCTTTCAAACTGATGACGGAAATAAACTGAAAGAGAATCTTTTACTGAAATCTATTAATCATTCAGAGTAGACATTGATTTGTTCTGTTTGAAAACTAGTATTTGTAGTAAAAGATAAAATAACATAAAATGCATTATTTTGAATACTTAAGTAGACTTTTTCAATGTTTATTTTAATGTATTTTACATAATCTTTTTACGCTCCAGGTATTTTCAGAGTTTATTACTTAGTACAAACTTACTCGATGAGCTTAAGACAAGCTTCCAATGTTAAGTCAGCCCTCAATTAAGCGACTAAGTGACCGTCGACCGCGCTAATGGACTTCGTATTAAAGTGAGCGGCTCCGACGCACTCAGCCCGAGCTGTGCATTAACTACGGAATATCTCACTGATATGATAATTAGCCGCTTCGTTGAGTTTCAGCATTGTTAATTAATTCGCATGATTTCAAATCAAAGGCTTAATTACATTGTTTCACTTTGAGGTAAATGTATGGGGCTTACAGCTGAAAAACATTACGAAATTGTAAAACCAGATATTATGCATTTATCTACGAAATTAAATAACTAGTCACTTTAAAACTTGTTTGCGTTTTTAATATAAATTCGTAATAAAAATGTTAACTAACATGTGTATATACGTATGTACAGTGCAGAGAGGTATATATGTACACGAATGTAAGCCCGCATACATACCGTGTTGTTCAAACAAGTTCTTTGTAATGGGAATTTAAATTCGCCGACTCGCGAACTAATATTTACATAGGTACTGAAAGTGTATGTCATAAAATTTGCAATACCTATAGCAATAAACATTTATTATTATTTGCACCCGAATTCGTTGTTGCAGTAACAAAATGTTTTATGTAACGAATATTCAAAGAAGTCTTGTTAACACCTGAGATTACCCAAAATAAAAGCTTTGATTTACTAAGTTTTATTTAACAATTGTACGTAATACATATACATACATAACTAATCGAATTAGATTCACGATAAAACATTTCAAAAATAATTCCGTCTCAAGGTAAGCTCGCAGACACAGTTTGATGTGGGGTGAGGGAGGGGGGAAGTGACAAAGGGCGAGGACTGCTGCAGACAGCGACTGAAGTTAATCTCATTGCTACATAACGTAATGTTAACTGTTTGCTTTGACTTGAAAGGAAACTTTTATGGAGAGCAAAAGCTGATGTTAAACGTACTTACAACTTTCAGATTAAAACGTGAAGGAAACAGAGCCTACATACTTCGTGGCAGTTCTACGAGATGCTACGAAGTATATAGACAATGAATACTGTGCCGAATAAACAGGTTTCACATGAGTCTCATTTATTGCCTCGGCTTATGCTACCTTAGACTACAGATGCACCGGGGGCGAAATATATAAGTAGATGAAATCAGTTCACTACTTGATGATCCGTTCACTGATTTAGATGAAAATGTTTATGTACTTCATATCTACTATAGCATTGCATTATCTGTGGTATCACAGACCAGGAAATAATTTAAAGCTTTACCTAAAAGCAGTCTCGTTAAAGTAAATGACCACTCTCTTCGCATGCACTATTAATTAAGGTCATGTCGGATAACCTTGACTTTGTCGTGTAAACGACCTTTTTATGTCGGTGAATAGCGCGCAATTAACGCGCGCTGACATTGACACGCCGCCATTTTGTTGTAGGTGGCGACACTGGCGGGGTCAAGGGTTAGAAATTCTTCGACCATGGTATTGAAAGCATACATGACATTGACAATCTTTAGGCGATTCAGTGTGTTTTAAAATCACCAAATTTCATTTCCAGTTCAATCAGACCTTTTAATTAATTTTAGCATACGGTATCTGAAAAGCGTAAGAGCATGTCAAGATTATTTTTAAAGACAACATCTCGATATCGAGCTCTGATATGACGTTACTTTAAGGAACAGTGAGTACGTCGAAGTGAGCTCATTGCTTATTTAAGAAAGTGCACAGAGCTTCGCTAAATTACTCCATCTGGGGCAACGTCTAGAGGGCCTGAGGCGCTCATTATAACTGCATAAATGGAAGACAAACACAAGAGAGCCGTTAAACAAAGAAAGTTCAGAAGTACCTCATGCAGGCGATACTCTACGTCTACAGATATTCTTGTGTTGTCTTATAGAATAGCAATTTGCTTTAAGCAAACAATATAGATCCCTAACTCTTAGATATAGTCTATGTATATTTTAATTAAATTTTCGTTAATGAGAAATGATGAACAATAATAATTGAAGATATCGCAGACTTTGTCGTTCTTCTATGGAAAATAAAGTCATTTTTACTTTGTTGTGAACCAAAACGTTTTTAATCCATCAATAAGTGACATGTTACGTGATGAACAAACACATAAAACACCATGTGTTTTATGGCGCGCATGTTGCCACACAATATGGCGGCATGACCGCTGTTACTGCGTGTTTACGCCGGGTCGTCGGCCCCACGCGCCGCGGCTCTACTGAATCTATTATCTAGCCGTAAATCCTTTCATCCTTACATTATGATCCTTAAAGATATTATGAGATTTATGCAAAATAAAGTGTTATATTATCCCTGATTGAACTAATAACAATATTATTTGGGATATAAATCTATGAATGTTCCTAATGTACATTAACTGTGATAAATGTAAATTAAGTGACTCACCGAAACAAAAATAATAAACAAGATCGTTAGTTTACTAAAAAAACATAAACATAGACATAATTAATAAAGCATCATTAAAACTTCGCAAACTTCGGTGGAAAATTTAGAAATAACTCTTGCTTTTCATCAAATAACAACAGCAAAGTTGTAGAGTCGAGTTTTCTCGTTGTTTATTTAAGAAAATATGCGACGCGGAGAGAAATTACTCAGGAGCGGACTAAAGTTTGGCTGCACATTTACTCATTAAAATAATACATGTTCATACAAACTGTAGCCGCGTGGAAATGTTTCTAATGTGTGTTTCTAATGTGTGTACATTTACATTACATTTATAGAAAACTTTTACAACCCATCGCTTGCGATATTCTCCGAATTAAAAAAAAATAGGTGAGCACCTATTATTGTCATTAAGGTGTTTTATTTGATTTTGAAATAATTCTGCTGAAAGGAAATTTTTTCCATGTTTTTTTTTTGCTTTTGTTGTATAAAATTCACCTTTAAGGGTTATTGTAATAAAACACAGTTTAGACATACACCATTTATTATTACCATATTAAAAGCAATACATATATACGCCAGTGAATACATTGCAGGGCGACATGATGCTCCTCACACAAACATTTTATATCACTAACTTCATTTTGTCTGTGCTGTTTTACCGACGAGGATAACCTACAATCCTATTTCTAACATTTATTTGAAGATACTAAAATCTATTCATGTTTTATTCCAGAAAACACACAAACGCCAGAATTTAGGAAATGATTTAGTAATTAAATTTCATATTTTCAAGAAATAAATTTAATCCAGTTCCCAAAACAATACAAATTGTGACAAGACATATATTTAAAATAATAATTCATAGACAACATAGAGAATTTATTTCACCACTAAATGTTATGCTTTCTGCTTCAAATGTAATTCATATCGATGCGTACCAAAATCGCCTTTAATAGTTTGTAAAAACATATTGATGAAAATGAATAATGCATCCATTAATCCCTACAAAAACATCTACAAGCTACGTATTTTCTAGTTAGATAAGTATGGTTTCTATGCATTATTATTTTAAATCTTAACCGACATGAACATTACGTTACACAGATTTTGAGTATCCAGAGTTATGTCAAAAACCCAACATATTCACTGTCACAAACATACAATATCTTATTCAAGTAACGTTATGTTGATTAATTTTAACTCCATTCATACAAACTAACATACAATGCGCGTTAATATATATTAATGAACTCATCTTCTACTCCTCGCGTCGCGTGCTGTTTTACCGACATATGTTTATTTTAAAAGTACTGTTTTACCGACATAACGTAAACGATTTATTTTTTAGTTTCAACTTATTTTGTATCCTGATGATTTAAATGGGTTAACACGTGGAAAACAAATGTTATGTGCTTTATATTTTAGTACGGTATAACCTTTAAATTTATTTTATCTGCTGTAGCTGGACGATAGAACTTTGCTTTAATGGTATTCAAATGTGAGAAGGGCCATTTGCGTTTGTTGTTAATATCCCACAGCTGTTCTTCTTCTACCATAACTTTCGATGTCCATATGAGAATGCCGAAGATGAGTTCTAACGTAATACAAACTACAAATACATTAATATATACGTTATAAGAGTATATATTTGTGATTTCATAATAATGTATCATGTTCCGTCACTAGAGATGAGGTGGAAGCGACTATTTCGTAAGTTAAAACATCAACATCGCGCTGCTCGCGTCGACGCTTCGTTAAATACTAGAACATGACGTCTCGTTCGTTATTACAAAGTCGAGTTGTTTCGTTCGCTAAGGAACAAGTGCGGGCTACACGCGCCGCGGGGCGGCCGTGCCGTGTTGAAGCCCTAATGCCTTTCCTCCCCTACGAATACAGGTATAATAGGCCATCTTAGAAACAATAATCTAACGCTAAATACTTCGGACCCGCTGCACGGCGCATGCAAAGTTGGACATCGGAACAATTATTTTAGAATGACATAATTGTCGATTTGTTAAGCACAGAAGACGGTAAGGTGGCGTGC